CTTCAGAAATCGATTCATATAAGTTTTGAACTCGCCTATTACATGGACCAGTTTAGGTCCAATGTTATTTTTTTCAAGCCGTAGCTTGATAAAATGTTCTTTTGCACCTAAACATTGTGCTGTGCTGGGCTAACACACCCACCTGAATTGATTCCCAAGGCTGTCTTGCCCTTTTATTCAATGCCTAGACTACCTTTGTGTATACATTATGGTCTCCCTAGGTAGTCATGCTGTAAATTTGGGGACCGGCTTCTTTTTCCATTTCATAGCGATTAGAAAAATGGAGGTCAGTGTGTCTGATAGTCTAGAATCAAGAATAAATTTAGCCGAGCAAGTAATCACAGCAGTGTGCCATCCTTGTAATGAATGACTGTGGCCACGGTGTCACATCTCAGGACCCAAACAGGTGTGACAAAGAAATGTGTTGTGTCTTTGGTTATAATGGTATGTTTTCTTCAAACAAAATAATGTGCTGTTAATCTCCAGCATTGCTGTTGATTGCTTTGGCAGCTGGAATTTTACAAAGCAGGCATTTATAGCCTGTTCAGTAAAAAAATTGTGGCTGGAGGAATGGACAGAAGGCATTAACTTTATTGAAATTGAACAAAATACAGGATTGTCTATAATATGTGTGGACATATTAGGATTCTGTCTTCGTTTCCTACACAGTATTGTTCAGCTTTTTGAGCTCTCCGTAATCTAACTGTTTTCCACGTTGAAGAATGGAGTGACAGATTGGCATTTTCTGGAAAGCCCAGTGTGACGGACATTATTAGTGATCTGATTTACACGCCCGTAGGCATTTCAGATTGCATCAGTCATTAACTTCGTTTTTACTAAACTAGTACAACCTATGGCAAAGTGTAATGATCTGTGTTGGGCTACCACAGCCAATCAGATTATCTCCTTACAATATCAGAAATGGGAATAATATGTGCCTACCCATCATTACAGTATATTATGGTACTGGTAGTGTTATAGTTAAACTATGTGGCAAAACAGATTGGAGCATTTTAAAATTGTTGGCCTGCAATCTTTCCATCACTAAAGCTTTTTTTTTCTATCAGCCTATGGTCAGATGGAAAAAAGTGCAACAGATTCCTCCATCTACGCTTAACTGTGTCGCTGGGCAATACCTGGACAATCTGATTGGATGCAGGCATTGTTCAGGTATTTTGAAAGCCAACGGGGCCAACTAGCAAGATACTGAAGCTTGGCCCGGTGCAAGATTCCTCCATCCACACAGTTTAGTGTGTATGACCAGCTTTAGACTGACCTTTAGGCTGCTTGTATGCCTATGTTATATGTGATATTGCCATGATATAGCCAGTTCGAGGATCATTTGGACTGGCTTCTAACACAGCAAAATTTAAACTTTAGACATTTCCTATCATGCTGGAAAATTCCTCAATACTGACATTTCCACATTGGACATCAGTGACATTACCAAGAGCTGGGTGTTCCTCCAAAATGAAAAAACAAGAAAACTGGTCCAGGAGGCTGCCAAGAAGCCTACAGCAACAATGAAGGAGCTGCAGGAATGTCTGGCAAGTACTGATTGTGTACTACATGTGTCAACAATCTCCTGTATTCTTCATATCCCTGGTATCTGGGATAGGGTGGCAAGTTGGAAGCCTTTTCTTACTAAGAAAAACATCCCAGCCTGGCTACATTTTGCAAAAACCTACACCAAGTCTGGCAAAAGCATGTGGAAAAATGTGTTATGGTCTGATGAGACCAAGATTGCACTTTTTGGTCATAATTCTAAAAAGTATGCTTGGCGCAGAAACAACACTATGCATCAACAAAAGACAACCATACCCACAGTGAAGCATGGTGGTGGCAGCATTATACTTTGTGGCTGTTTTTCTTCAGCTGGAACTGGGGGTTTAGTCAAGGTGGGGAGTGACTTATGAATAGTTCCAAATATCAGTCAATTTAGGCGCAAAACCTTCAGGCCTCTGCTAAAAAGCTGAAGATGAAGAGGAATTCTACCTTTCAGCACAACGGCCCAATGCATACCTCCAAATCAACAAAAGAATCGTTTTTTTTTTCCCATGAGATGATCAAAGTTTTAGAATGGCCCAGCCAAAGCCCAGACCTGAATACAATTAAAAATCTGTGGGTGACGTGAAGATACCGGAGATGACCTCACAATCTGACAGATATAGAACGCTTTTGCAAGCAAGAGTGGGCAAAGATTTCCAAAAGCAAAATATGCCATACTGATGGACTCCTTATTTAAAAGACTGAATGCTGTCATAAAATCAAAAGGTGCTTCAACACAAATAATTTTAAGGGTGTGCATATTTAGGCAACCATGGGCCACCATGTTATTGTAAAATGTCCATTTTTATTTTTCCCCCTTTGAAGATTTCAGTTTGTTTTTAGTTGGAATGCATGGATTATAGGCCACATTAAAGGTGGAAAAATTCTGAAGTGATATATCTTGGGCTGATTTTTTTTTTATATATCTATACAGGGGTGTGTAGACTTTTTTTTTTTTTTATCCACAGCATTCATTGCCTTTTCCAATGGATCCTGTGGTCATGGCAAGTGGGATGACTCAGCATTCTTAGAAAGACAATATGATGTCCTATTTAACCACAATATCTGCCTGTCTCTTCGTAGCTCAGTCCTGCTCTTCCCATAGCTTATCTGCAAAACTGTTGGTTGGAGTGTGCAATATATATATGTACAAAAGTATTTTTATTTTGGAAGTGGAAGTACTAATGTGATTTGTGGTTGATTTTACCTTAAAAGGTTAGTCAATACAAAATTGTCCAATGAACTGAATCGACTACTGTATTACATACAGAGTATATTTTGGATGCTCCAGTGGCTTTAGTCCCCAGACTCTATTCATATCCACCTTGAAGTTTTGGAGTGTTCCTACCCATTATATTGCCTCCTTCCTATTATCAGATAAGTTCAGAACTAAACTAGGAGCGCCAGACTGCCCTGTAACTCTCGCAATCTGTGTAAACTTTAAAGGAGATTTCTCACTAAGCGTTGCTAATAGACCTAAGAAACTGCTATGTGATTTAACTAGGGCTGGTAATGATTAAAATTTTTGTGTTCGATTAATTGAAAACATTTTTAATCGATTAATTTCGATTAATTATAACGCACATACAGATCCAACTACATTGGCCTGTGCACATACAGCACAGCAATGAAGTTATAAAATGAACTAGGATCACACTAATCCAGCACGTTATTAATCTCACGTGCCCCACTCAATATGGCCGCCGCTTGAGTGGGGCAACTCAGAATAATAACGTGCTGGATTAGTGTGATCCTTGTTCATTTTATTACTTCATTGCTGTATGTTTATAGGCCAATGCCTTGGCTGGTGCTCATGCAGAATGTTTCTTGGGCAAACTCACAGGCCCAAGTGGCTCTGTCAGCTAACGAAGGGGGGAGGAGTCCGGTTACGTCACGGACATCAACGTCATTGGACTCCTCCCCTTCCCTCCGTTAGCCGTCACCGGACTCCTCCCACCTTCCCTTCGTTAGCCGACGGAGCCACTTGGGAAAGGGGGGAGGAGTCTGGTGACGTCACTGGATCGCCGACGGGACTCCCGCAAGCGCATCAGTTTGAAGTGCTTCTGAGATCATTCAGAATTCAATAACCGGTGCATTTGACTTGTAGTTGACCACTTTTTGACTTGCTTTAAGAACTGGGAAGTTACAAAATTAACTCTTGCAGTGGGGCCACCCCTGCCATTCAAGAGCTAACTGCTCGTTTTTTGATATGGTATAAAATAAATTACTCACCCGATCCTCGATCCTCCCTGAATGCAAGACAGGTCTCCGCCAGTGGTCTAAGGATCCATGAGGAATCACGCCTAATACAGTGCATTAGACGCGAGGACGCTGAGAGACATTTTATCACCGATGGAGAGAGGTGAGTGGTCTCTGCCGCAGGATCAAGGCTCCGGTGAGTAGAACTTCTTTATTTTAGGCCTTGGAGAGAACCAAGCAGTCAACTCTTGCAGGGTGGGGGTAGCCCCACAGCAAGGGTTATTTTGCTGTGGGGCTACCTCCTGTCAGGGCCCGGCTTTGGAAGTGTAAGGTGGATCACAGCTGCGGTTCCAACAGTGTCTCTAGTGCGGTGGTCAGGCTAGAATCCCCGGCGGCTCTCTCAATCATAAACGGAGAGTTGGGGATTTAGTCATCATGGACCGCTAGTAATAGTCGGCAGTAACAGGAGAAGTAGTTTAGTGATTATTAATTTATACGCCTAATCTTGGCAATCCTATCGTGATACAGTATCTATGACGGATATCAGAAGCAATCCCCTTCACACAGCATATATAGCTTAAGTATGGCAAAGCAGGCAGGTGATACCCAAAGTCTCCACCAGAGGGCAGCGTATATGAGCCAAGTCAATTGGTGAGTTCAAATAGCAGATACTTGCGGTTTGGTGGTATGAGCGATCATCTGCATGCAAGAGGAGTCCAGTGGCGGCTGGTTGCAGGGGAGCTCTGAGGATCCGTGTAGAGAGGTTCGAGGCTGATGGTTGGTGAGGTTCCTGGGGTGTTTGGGCTATGATCCCAATCATTGAACACCCCACAGCATCTTTGACAGGTTTAAATAGCCCGCGGCCGTGACGTCACGCGGCCGTGGGCTACTTCCGCGTTCCAGCTTGGAACGCATAGTACTTCCGTCAAGGGGGAGGAGGAGTGCGGTGGTCACCGCGGCCGATGCGCTCCAGCCTGGAACGCAGTCGGGAGGAGCCAGGAACCCGTGGGTCATTACACCTCCACACTGCAAGGGTTGCAGTGTGGGGGTAGCCCCACAGCAAGGGTTCATTTTGTAACTGCCCAGAGTTCTTATTTAAGCAAGTTTTGTATTTCTATAAACTTGTATGGGATTGCAAAACCTGCTTGAAGCAAATCTATCCTGTCAACATAGGCCGATAGGTGTATAGACTTTGAAATAAAAACAACTGCCTATATTTTGTCTGTAACTTTACATATCTTCTCTTATGACAGGTTTGGAGTTGGTCGTAGATCACCAGCTTCCATCGACAGGCAAAACACCCAGACCGATTTGTTGGGTGGTGGAAAGTCGACTCCGAACTGGCAGAGGAGTGAGGACAATGTTGTTGATCAAATAGGTATGCATGTTTAGTCAATACAGCATCACTGATTACATGTTTAATACCCAGCAAGTGGCAACAGAATTCAAGATCAACTGTTGAATATCTACTAATGGCTACATAAATGCAGTATAAAGAATATATTTTATCTGAGAGACCATGTATGGGTAGTGAGCAGGTCCAGTGATGTGATGATGTTAGGATGTTCTGTATTGGATCATAAAGCTGAGCAGTAGCTGCAGGAAAAGATTCAGTGGTATGCAAGCCTTTCTCTTTCCAATCTGTGGTAGCAGTATGGCCTTCACAATATTAGAAGAAAGTTGGTTTGAAAGTCATGAAAAGTATTCTTTTGTGTATATATTTCTTTTAGGGATGCACCGACACCGATTTTTCGGTATCGAGTAAGAGTACCAATATTTTGCTTTCGCTACTCGCCGATATCGAGTACCGTTACCGCTGCTTCCGCTGGCATGGAGCCGGCTTCCCGGGCAATCAGGAAGGCGGGCAACGAATAATGACGTGCCACCTGCTTTCTGATCTCCCGGGAAGCCGGCTCCATGTTGTTTGGCCGGCTCGTTTGTGATTGACCAGGAAATTGGCTTCCCAGCCAATCAGCATCGAGCCGACTTCCCGGACAATCAGTAAACCAGGCAGCAAGTAATGACCCACCTGCCGGCTTCCTGATTGGCGGGGAAGCCGGCTCCATGCTGATTGGCTGGGAAGCTGGCTTCCCAGCCAATCAGCATGGAGCAATCTTCCCCCGGGCCAATCAAGAAGCCGGGCGACTGGTATTGATTCACCTCCCAGCTTCCCGATTGGCCAGGAACCCCGCTTCATGCTGATTGGCTGCGAAGCTGGCTACCCGGCCATTCAGCATCGATCCGGCCCAAACAGCATGGAGTACTTGCCCAAATACTCGGTATTGGTGCATCCCTAATTTTTTTCATGCATTGTAAAATAATTGATTGATTTTTTTTAAAGAATTGATCACAATTGGCACAATTAATGATGCATTTAGATTTGAGGTGCATGGCTTTACTACAGCCCAAAGTCCTAGATGGCTTTAATCAAACACTGATCCTCTTGACAGCTACTTTAGCTAGTGGACTAACCTCTACCAAACACTTTTCAAGGATGTATTCATAGTTCATACCATGCAAAGGATTTTAACCTGATTGATTCAATAGGTACTTTTAGACTGAAAATGTTTGCCAGTGGTACTTTGTCCGTAAAATCAATTTGGAATCCAGGCTGTATTTTACCAGTCCTTAGATGGGGTGCCTGCATTAGTTTTCTCTTCTCATGTTTTTCCTCTATTTTTACCTTTTAGATTCTGTGAATTTAACCGTTTCTGTCACTTGGTGGCTACGATCACCCCTCATTGCATCTATGGAGAGAGCCATGGTTTCTCACCCAGGCTTCTAAATGTCTGCATTTATTTGTCTCCATTATGTGGGGGGATTGAGAGATTAGTAGTTTACAAAAAAAAGATAAGATTGTTCTCATTTCTGTTCAGCTCTGATGAAATGACAAGAACACTGTATTTTAGGCAAGATCAAAAAGTATTTTCTGTACTTGCTGACAATGTTCTGTGCCTGAAAAATAAAAACGATTGCATTTACTGCTTCTAAGATCTGGTAAGCTGAAATATATGACATTTTCGTTCTAGGGCTTATATCCTTTACATTGTTCTGCCTGGGATATGACTGCTCCCTGTAATTAAATAATCCTAGAACCACTCCAGAGAAAAACACCTGTATAACTATACAAATTATACCCAGTGCGATGTGTGAGACCCAGACAGACATACCTTGCTGTATATTGAGGTTATTATAGATATCTGCAGTGAGAAAATGCATGCCAAGACTGTCACCAATAATACCCCAGTTGTTCCTCAGGTATGACTAGTCTTTTGTGGGATTGGGATGTTTACCTAATAAGATCATGTTGCTCTTTTATCAAAATAGTATACATGTAAATATTGTTGCACATATATTTGTACTATAAACATCAGGTCCTAAAGACTGCTTATATAAAATGTTTTTTCAGCTAATTTGCATTTCTATTACATTTCACAATTAAGCTGTCAGATGAGCTAAAATATTAGCTGAATAAAGCATCTGCATTGCGGGAATCAAATTCAGTTCCTTCTTTTGTTAGACATGCGTTGCAGTTTGTGCTGCATAATAAATACAGCGCATCAATATTCTGTGTGCCCCATCTCATGGGAATTAATCAAGTTTGGAGTATGGTAATATTTTTTTTATTTTCTGTAACATCTATTCTTTAAAAAACAAAACAGCTGAGCCATGTCAAAGGAGATTCTAACCAACGAGGTGATTGTTTTTTGGGTTGTGGCTTCTTTTTTCTTTTGCAAAGATTTGCAGTTAATTTCTGTTTTAAACACATTCTGTTCATAGTAGGGATGCACCGATACCGGGTTTTCGGTATCAAGTACAAATACCGATATTTATATTTCGGTACTCGCCATTACCAGTTCTTCTGCTAGCATGGAACTCCACGGCTCCATTCTGATTGGCTGCAAAGCTGGCTTCCCATCCGCCATGAGCTGGCCAAACAGAATGGAGTCGGCTTCCCGGCGAGTCATTTACCCAGCGGCTGGCTTCCTGATTGGCCGGGAAGGCGGCTCCATGCTCCCTCTGACCAGAAGTTCCGGTATCAGGGAAGGTATCGGAGCATTTGGGTGCCCAAATACTCGGTGCCGTTACCGATACTAGTATCCTTGCATTCATAGTTCATAGCATGGTATATGGTATCTTGTGGAGGCATAGCTTATAGGATGATCTGAACAAAACCAAACATCCAGGGCTCAATTCACTGAACATTACCGCATGAGATAATATAGTCACGTGCCCTTTTTAGGTGAGATATCACATGTGATAAGAAAATGGTCAATTTATTTAAAAAAAGAAAAAAATGCAAGATAAATAAGCAAAAACTGTAAAAATAAATAAATAAATAAATAAATATTGCAAGTAAAAAAAATAGTTCAGGTCCCAAAAAAAAGTATGGGGTAATTATCATATGGCTGTGTCAGTTGGTATTTGCAGTCTGTTAGCCTGTGGTAGTGTGTAAGTGTTCATAACCACCAATATGAGGCAATGTAAGTATTCCAAAACACATTGCTGGAATATATTTTACACCTTAGCTGGTTTCTAATTTAATGGGTGCAATTGATTGCACCTATTTGTCTTTTTTTCACTGGAAATTACCAAAAAAGAAAAAGGTGAAAAAATTAAGCCTAAATGATGAGATAAATACTGCATGCTTAACGCAATATCTAATTTAATAAATAACTAATAGATTTTAGTGAATTGTATACTTATTTTACTGCAAAACTTCATATGGTATTTATCTCATGGTGAATTGAGCCCCCAATCTCTTGGGATAGTTTTCAGAACTTTCAATCCAACTTTTTTTTTACATATTGTGAAGGCCATAGTACTACAATCGATTTGAAACAAAGATTGTATGCATGTAAGCTTTCGATGGTGTCCATTGCATTCAAATTTATCATCAAGATATTGGCCATGTGAAATGTATATTCAGCGAAGACATGCTTCAATGATGTCTCTGGTTTCCTTCCAATTGACAGTAACCTGCCTCCTAAATACATACAGGTGAATAGTATTTAAGTTTTCCGGCTTCTAAGAACTAGCTTGGTTGTTTTTTTGCTTTGGAAGAGTTGGAGCCAGAAAGCTTAGCACACAAATTTTAGGCAGAAATATATTTTGCCACATATCACATTTACCACATTTTACACTTTTTCAGGCTTGAAAAATGTTTAACGCTTTAAAAAGGAATAGGTACTCACTAGTCTATCAGTGTAACCCTAAACCCTGACCTTACACTAAACACTAAAGGTAACGAGGTAGGCTTAATTAACCTAGCACTCATAGTAATCTTGGGTGAAGTTTAAACTGTCATGATGATAATAGACAGGGCTCGAAAAATCCACTCGTCTGCTCGTCTGTGACGAGCAGACAGTGGAGCCCGACGAGCAGCTTCCCGGCCGGCCGTTGTAATGACACGGCCGGCCGGGAGCTTTACATTCAAGATCGGGCGTCTCGAGAGACGCTCGATCGCTTGTATCAGAAGCTGTCACTGCCGTTGCCGGTCCCGAGATCCGCTGTGCCCGATGCGGCCGGGACCGGCACGGCTCTGTGACAGGAGATCAAAGGGAGTTCAGTACACAAACTCCCTTTGATCTCCTCTCAGTCCCCGAATGCAGGAAGTGATGTATGTTACATCACTTCCTGCATTCAGTTTTACTCTCCAGCTAGAGAAGCTGATGAAGCCGATCTCGGCTTCATCAGCTTCTCTGGAGGTCCCTAGGTGGCATTAGGGGTCTTGGAGACCCCTGATGTCTCCCTAAAGAGGACCTGTCATGTAAATTGGCTATCCCTTAGGGGGCTTCTTAGCCCGCCATGTAATAGCAATAAAGTTGTATGTAAAAAAAAAAAGTAGTAAAAAAATGAAATTCATAAAGAAAGAAGCATTTATTTTTTTAACATTTTTTTTAAGTCCGCGCCCCCCTAATACACACGCATATATGCGTCAGGTGCGCCTCCAGCCGCACATGTTGCATATCCCTGCAAACGGAGTGAGAGCAATCATTTTAGAGCCATTAAGGCCGCGTTCACACATGGGCGTTTTACAGCGCTGATCGACGCGCTGTAAAAAGCACTGCGAGTGAAATCCCATTATTTCCTATGGGCATGGTTCTCACTTGGGCGTATTTCAGCGTGTCGGAATGTGCTGAAAAACGCCCTATGCCCAAAGAAGTACAGGAGCTTCTTTGGGGCGTATTTCCGCGCGTATCCATTAGGATACAGCCGGATAGCCCTCGTCAAACGCACGTTTTGTGGGCTGCAAATCGCGGTTAAAACATGCACCGCAAAACGCGCGTCATACACGCATATTTCGAACGCCTAGGTGGGAACCCAGCTTAAAGGAGAACTATGAGGTGAGTGCTTTTCACTCACCTCATAGTTCTAGCCGACCTGTGACAATGAGACTGTCACAGGTCGGCTCAGTAGATCGCGAAGTGAGCGAACACATACCGGTGTTCGCTCACTTCTCGATCCTGTCACGGCACAGAGCCGTGACAGGGGAGGGGCTGGATTCCCCCCTCCCCACTCCAATCCGCCAGCGCTGACTGGCGGAACGGACGGGGAGGGGGCAGATACAGCTGGCTCTGCCTCTAGATAGGCAGAGCCAGCTGTCACTCACGCAGCTGGGCGGATCCAGACATAATTGTCAGGATCTGCTTCAGCTGCGGCATCTCAGTATACCGCGAGCAGCAGCTCTCTATATACTGAGCTTAGGGTAATGGGAGGACGCTAGTTTGTGTCCTGCCGTTACCCTAAGGAAAACTATGTGGAAAATCCCTAACCCCATATTTCTCCTTTAATCACTGATAACACTAAACTGATGAACAGTAAAAGCGTTTTAATCGTCACCTATAGGCGTTTTTTGCGGGAGCACGCAATTTAAGGCTTGACATGTTTGGTGTCTATTTACCCGACGTGACCCTGACTTTTATGTTTTACTAAAAATATGGGTAAGAATAAATGTTTTATAACATAATGTAGGGAAACTTTTTTTTGTTTTTTTTTACATTTATGGTACTTTTTAAATTGTATAGTAAAAAAAAATACCCCCGTGGTGATTATATACCTCCAAAAGAAAGCTCTATCTGTCCCCAAACTTTTTTAACATAAATTGCAAGGCTATAGTCCGGTCATGCTGACTGGTGAAATTTTTGACTGACTGGTGAGACACTATCAAATTTTTCAAGCCCTGATAATAGAGGTGATCATTATGTTGAAAGTGTCATATCTCCGGGCAATCCACTTCACCTTGCAGTGGGGCTACCCCCAGACTCCAAGGGTTGTCTGCTCATTTATGTCTAGGAGATGCTTTAAAGCAGATTTACTTACGCGATCCTCACTCACCTCTTCCCCCTCCACTCTGGCTTGGCGTACTCAAGTCTATCGGCCTTTCAGTGTTCCCACCCCCCCCCCCCCCCCACCGCAAGGGGAGGTTTTTCTTTTTCACAAAGATAGGCTTTAAGGCTTTGGTGTTAGTATACACTGCACCTAAATATCTGCTGAAAAAAACAGCACCAAAATCATAACCCCTGAATCAAATCATTTAAAAAAAAACCAAATCAGACAATGCAATGGCTTTTGCCAGCAGGTTTTATAAATGCCTTACAAAGGTATCCTACTTTGGGATAGTTTGGTTTGAGGCGATATATACTACCCTGCTTCCCCGAAAATAAGACCTACCCCGAAATTTTAGACCTAGTACCATTTTTGGGAACTGCTAAAATATAAGACCTACCCTGAAAATAAGACTTAGTTGTGACCATTCCCAGGGTCGGTGGTGGCATAAGTGTGAACTTGAAGAGCCACGGGAGAGAATCAGCGGTGCCATCTCTAGAGGAAGCACGGTGGCAGCGCAGGCAGCAGAGCCGCATAAGCCGATGCCTCCTCTATAGCGCCAGCTCCTGTCACAGGCGGAGTGATACCAAATGCACTCTGCCTGTGAGGAATCGATAGTGAAAGCGTGCTTGGAAAGGTATGGCACCCCAGATTGCCCTGATCAATCTATTCTTAACTTTGCCATTTTGGATTATTTAATTTAGATTTGCATTAACTTTGGATTGTTATACATAAAAAAAAAAAAAAAAATAAGACCTACCCCGAAAATAAGACCTAGTGTGTTTTTTTGAGCCACAAAAAATATAAGACGGTGTCTTATTTTCGGGGAAACACGGTATATGTAGACTACACTTAATTCTGGAATAAAAAATATTATATTTAATTTATACAAATGGTTTTGTGCTAAGGGACTTTATTCAAAGCTACCTTGATAAAGTTATATCAATTATATGATATCAAGAGTTGCTTAGTAACCCATTTCTGGATTGTGAAGCCATCTGTTCAGTTACTGTATGTGCGCATTTCAATACGGCAAACCAGCAATTAAGCAGCTCCATAATTTCTTAGAGGGACAGAATGTGTGTGTGATTTTTTTTTTTCCCTTTCTGCTGCAGATGTTTTGTTCCCTCGAGATGGTAACAGTGAATTCATTTGTAGGACATGTTTCTCCTGCTGTTATTTAGATTAGATTTTTTAATGCTAAATGAATAATGCAATCACAGTCATGGGTTGGCAATGTCCAAATATTTAAAACCACGAAAAAAACATTTACATATTCTATGAGTTAGTGGGCAATATACATACTTTGTTATAGTCTGGACTGTTGTGCAAGTTTTATTCTACATATCTTTACGATTATGCTGCAGGGTACAAAATAAAGTATTAGTTGCCCATCTGTATTGTACTAATGGGTAGTATGTGGTACACCCTGCTTCATGAGATGGTTACTGTTTACTGACCGTTTTTAACCGTGCCATGGGAGTTTTGGAGCCAGACTGTGCTAAATTAGATTTTTTTTTGTATCCAGGACTACTAAATGCAGTGATGAGCATAATTTAAAACCCATTCATTTTAAAATTGCATCATTCTGTAAGCTTCATAGGGAAGCCAAGCTAAATAGGTCAGGGAAGACTTCCAATTGCCAGGCTAAGGTTTTATGGAGGATTTCAAGATGTTCCCAGGTCCCTTGGGTGATATACCACCTGTATGTTGAGATGGTCATGGTTACTCCATGCAACAGGGTGACAACACAGCAGCACAATTGGGAAATAGGGACAGAACATTGTCACACTATAATAGAAAGTTCCTGGACAAGGACCTTTTATGGCACTATCGCCATTTAATACGTTTAAAGTGTATGTAAATCATACACAGTACATGTCAGAACATTTTAATGAAAATATCCCTCAATAATCAAAACCTCAATAATTAGTGTCAAAACCTAATCTCAACAAGAGTATTGGCAGCCAACACACTACTATGAATAAACAATTCAAACAAAAAAGAGAGACGTGAAGGAATCACCCCATATAACAGTGTATGTGAATCCAGTCCAATATTTATTCCACTGAAGTAAACTTCTGAATAACCATATCACATGGCAGTGTTAGAAATAAGAGTTAACTGCTCGTTTTAGTCTAAGGTCTAAAATAAAAGTTATACTCACCTGATCCTCTGAGCTGGCTTGCTCTTAGATTTGATTGGTGAGTGTTATCACAGCGCTATAGGTATTTAAGTAAACTAAATACGAATTAATATTACAGCTAAATCCCATATGGTGAAACCTAAAAATAAAATTAGAACATGTGATATTTAATTAGGTGAAAACCATAATATTCACAGTGAAAAAAATGTATTTAAACAGCTGAAGGGTCTTCAAAGGGACCTAATCAGTGTTCAATAAATACCATTTAAAGCATAAGGTTGCTAAAGTGATAGTGTGGCAGAATTCTATTCAGTGTTAACAGAATAACCTTTAAAGCATGAAGCTCCTTAAGTGATACAATGTGACAAGATATCAATGAAATAAAAACACTAATATATCATAACAATCACAGTGATGGGTGATATTACAAATTGCTAAGTTGCTAAATAAGACTCAGTGAACAAAATTTCCAGTGAAAAAAGGTTTTAGGAATTGAAAAAAACTCCTTAAAAAGTCTCAATCCCTGATATAAAAAAATGTTTAAATAGCAGAAAAAACGGCAAGCACACAAATGTTCAGCAGCTTTTCCTCGCCCGCTCTGCAGCCCCCCAAGCGATGGTTACTCACCAGATGGTGTGTGAAAATTAAGCCCCTCTCAGAGGTGTGGGTATGGTCCCCCAGCTCTCCCACCGATGCGTGCAGGATTCCCACGACAATAGAGCGGATACCGGCAGGTGTCTTCGCTAACAGCACCGCAACGGATCCAGCTAACTGTCCACGGCAGGACCCCGGCTCCTCTTCCTCACGAACAACTGATGTTTTTACTCCTGGTCTCGATGGTGAATCGAATGAAAAACAATAGCCTTCATGGTGCAGTATGAAGCAGTTAAGTTTATTTAAAATTAACAGCTCACATGGAATTTTAAAATGTATTCGGCCGGCCCGACATAAAATAGAAACTGATAAAACAACTCGTGTTGGAAAGATCTGCCCCTTGCTCTTAGATTTGTCCTTCCAGCCACTCTGCCGATTAATCGATTATTGAAAAAGTTGACAACTTTTTCAATAATCGATTATAATCGATTATGTCGATTAGTTGTTGCAGCCCTACTCTCCCCCTCCGCAGCAGTGGTGTAAGGATCCTTGAGTCATCACATCCAATACACTGTGTATCAGACATGAGGATGCCAAGGAACATACCATTGTTGCAGTGCAAGAGGCTCCCAGGGAGCACTGTGACAGCCCGCCATCCCCCGAGGTTCGGGTGAGGTATAACTTTTATTTTAGGGCCGAGACGAAAACGAGCAATTAACCCTTGCAGAGCGGAGATGGCCCCACAGTAAGGGTTAATAAAAAAAAATTCCTAGAGTTGTTCTTTCCAGAAAAACAATGTCATTTTCCTTGAGGAAAAGTAGCACACTACTATTGCTGACCTTTCCCTTTGACAACGCTAGCTCCCTGGCTGCCATTCTGATCCGATAGCTTCAGTACTGACTTGAAAAAAATGTGCAGATTCACTTTCTTTCCTGTTTTGCATGCTTGTTTTGGGTCCGTGTTTCAAGGTGTGGAACCCAAAAAGAACTAAGATACTAATATTTCCAGAAGGAGATCAGCAATTACATCCTCTGTATTTCTTTTAGTAAACTTTTCCTTTTGTGTGAAGACCCTTTGAAAACGTGTGTATGCAGAAAGATTATATTATACAGCGGCCGCAGTAAGCTTGAAAGTAGTTTGTTTGTATTACAGAGCCAACATGTCACCTGCCTGCAGTGTCTAAGGTACATCCATCATACAGAGACAGCCCGACAGGAAGACTGATCCGTCAAGATCCTGTTCTACATCTTTCGCCTCACAAACAGGGACAGGTGCATTTAAACATTCTTTACAATCTTTCATTTTATAGTTGTTTTTTACTATTTATAGTCTTTGTTTAAATATTTGTGGGTAGTGAATGACCGTATAATTTGTATTTTTTATTTCATTATTTAAACACCACAGTTGTTATATAGCGAAGGGACTATGTAATTCTGATTTTGTCTGGCACAGATCAGTTTCAGGTGCAAATAGTGGAAAAGCCTTCCCTTCTTAAGGTGCCCACACACCTTGCGATAATCGTACGATAATCGTGGGTAATCCCGCGATCGTACGATTATCGCAAGGTGTGTGGAAGGCGTGTGTGACCTCTGCTACTGTAAGGTGGCACGGCTTTTATCTTAGAAACATGTACAAACCCCCGCCGAGAATCGTACGATTGTCGGCGGGTGTGTGGCATGTTCGTAAGATAAATGCCGCACGGGCCGGTGTGCGCAAGCGCACACTGCCCGTTCAGCATTGCGGTCATTGGAAGCCCGCCCCTCAGCGGGGTGGGCTTGCGATCATCGCAAGTACGATCTGCCTGTCCAAGATAGGTAGATCGTACGTTTTTTTAATTACCTTACAACCATCGCAAGACAAAAGTCTTGCGATGGTTGTAAGGTGTGTGCCCAGCCTAACACAGTCAGGTTACTTCCCTAGCAAGCCACACTGAATGCAAAATGACAAACTCATAGGGCAGCAATTCACTGAAACTGGAGCAGCTGTGCATAGTAACCAATCTGCTATCTTCAGCTTGTTCAGTTAAGCTATGAAAATGAAAGAGAGAAGTTGATTGGTTGACATACACAGCTGCTACAGATTTTGTCTGCTCCAGTCTTTGAAAATTCCCTTCTAAAGGTTTTAGGGCTGGTTCACACCACAAAGAGTGCATTCCAGAGCATTCGGCCTCTGGAACACAGCCCGGCTGGCTCTCTGCATTCAGGAGCGGTGCATTGAAGTGAATGGCACCGCAGCCACGACTCCCGCCCGCAGTGTGATCACTCAAACGCGTGGCACATTAGTGCCTGTGTTCCAATCCAGTGTGATCTGATAAAATAGTACATGCAGCATTTTTGCGGATCGCACTGGACCTGAACGCAGGCACTAATGTGTCACGCGTTTGGGTGTGGGCAATCGCACTGCGGACAGGAGGCGTGGCTGCGGTGCTATTCACTTAAACACAGGGAGTCGGCCGGTTTGCGTTCCAGAGCTGCTGGTTTCCTAAAAGCATTAACTAAAAAAAGAGACCCATTGGTAATGCTTGTGAATATGAATAGAACTGAGAATTTAGATGCCGGGGACTTTGTAACATAAACCAAAATATGTGAGGCTTGTGACCAAAACTGCCAACATCCTTCCATATTGATTACGTATAACATTTTACTGGTCTTGCTTTGCTTCTAATCATATCTCCTCAACACCATTCTTCTCTCTGGTTTTAAATAGTATATTATTGGTCAGTTATTCGTAAAGTAACTTTTTAATATTGAACATAACCATATTGTTTTGCAGACCGACAGCCATTACTCCAGTCACTCCAGCACCAATACTCTTTCTAGCAATGCGTCCAGCGCTCATAGTGAAGAAAAGTGGTATGACAGTGGTGAGCGGCTTGACTCGGACAGCTACGGCTACATACAAGGGACTTCCGCTGATAGTGGCATTGACACCACCTCGTATAGCAACAATCATGTCAACTCTAATCTTCCTGGGGCTTCTGCCACCTCCCCGCGTTCTGGTCATCCCAAGGAAAAAGTGGCGCCTCTGTGGCACAGCGTCAGTGATGTGGGATTGATCTCTGATAGGACTTGTGACAAAGACTCTCAAGCTGTGGATGGAATAAGAGAATCTCCTGTCACTATGGAGAATCACACTAAAGTCCCAATAGGCACCAAGCCTTTAACCAGAGAAAACAGCGCCTACAGCCTCAGTGATGCTGCATCTCATACCAGGTAGTGGCCAGTATTTTTTTTTGTATATTTTTTTTTTATGCACTAATCTTTCTCTCTGCGGTGTGATAGTAATGGTGGTGGGTTCGTATGCACCATCAAATCTTTTTACCCTAACCTGCCATCAGAGCAAGATGCAGGTCTGGTACTCTTTCAGCTTTTACTGCAGACTTCCACCTTAGGTAATTTTTTCCACAGTAAAAGAATTGTCTTTCTACTCAGACTTCACACTTGCATGACATATAACCATATAAAATAACCATATAAAATGAGTAGAGACAAATTTTGAAATGTGGTTTTCACAATATTGAGTATTATTTATTTTGTTCTTAATATAGTTACAACTGCAGTTTTTACACATGGACATTGTACAGTCTGTTCTTACTGTAGAATACATTAACTTTCTCTTAGTAAAATTTTTGATTGAAATACTACGCTGAGAGGTTGGGTTTATCTAAGTCTCTTATTAATGGTATTATTTTACTAAAATACTTTGTGTGGTGGCTAATTAGTAGAGGGCCATTTATTAGAATTTGCGTTAATAATCTTCCCACCCTGCTGAGCTTAAAAGAGAACTATGGGGTTACCTTTTTATCCTATAGTTTTCTTTAGCGTCACTGGAGGACATATACTAACCTCCTCCCGTAACCCAAAGCTCAGTATATAGCTCGCTATATACTGAGAGCGACGCAGCCATGACGGATCCCGACAATACTGTTGAGATTCACCCAGCTGGCTGATTGACAGCGGGCTCTGCCTACCCCCTCCCCCGTCTGTTGCTCCAGTTAGCGCTGGAGGATCAGGGCGGGTGGGAATCCCTACGGGGAGCAGTGACTAGCGGTCACCCCTCTCTGCAGGGAGATGATCAAGAAGTGAGCGAGTGACGGTATGTGTTTGCTTACTTCCCGGTCAATAGAGCCGACATGTGACATGTAAATCACTCGCCTCATTTTGTCTTTAAGTATGGTTCTGCCAAGAGTCTATGACAAACTCTGCCATGCACAAGTTACAGTAATTAAAAGCAGATTGTTCAAGTTTTATAAATAATGATTTTAGGTATGTTTAAAAATGTTTGGAAGTATATCACAAGTTGGATGTTTTCTTAATTTTTGGTTCAGAAACATACTTTAAAGAAAATAAGTTATTGTAGAGCATTGGGATTTATATTTGGCATCTTATTTAACATAATGTGCTTTGTCTGAGACTGGCAGTTTACCATAAAGTGAAACTACAACACCCTATCCCTTACAGCCAAGGAAGGTGCTAGCTTAGCCTCTAATTGGATTGCAGTTGCCATGGTACTGCACCTGTGATCAGCTATGACAGCAGCCATTTGAGGGCTTAGAAGTTCGTTTACAAGCTGAAATAACACAGTCAACCTTGACCGTTGGCATGCCTCAAAATTAACTGTTTTGGGAGACATTAAGTTGGTGGGTAAAGTTTCAGGGATCACCTGAATTTTGGCAGTTGCCGACTTGTTAATTGCCTGACCTCACATTCTCTCTCAACTCCTGAGGAGCCAAACATATATCAAATTTATTTCCACACATTATTGGTTCTCTTTGTGGTCACTTTTAGATTTGTAGAGCAGCTAGGTGTTATAAGTCACATGAGTTGCTCATTAATACCAAGGCTTCCTGAGTCTGGTGATGTAGGAACATATTGTTGAGCCTGTGGTATGGTCCCTGTAGGCTGAGTGATCTTAAACATGTAAATACACGGTTACAATTCCATACGAAAAATCTTGTCAGAACATTCGATAATGCTGTCAGAGACTTGACAAATATCATTCAAAATTTCGTTTGATTCTAACAATAAATAAATGGAGTTTCCCAAACAAAACCACATTTACTGTTTGGTTTGTTCAGGAAAAATTTTCCTTCTGCTCCTTCGATTTTTTTCCGTCACTGGTTGAAAACGATCTAACCGTGTATAGCCTTTTTAGTTGTTCATTTAAATGCATAGCTGTGTCAGAATGTAGAACATTTTGAAAAATTCAGAAGTAAATGAGATATTTATGTTGAGTGTTTATAGTGGGATTCATATGTGAACTTGAACCAGCATGCTGTCATCCAACATTTTCCAGTTCAGGATCTGACCGATAGCATGGCCCAGTGTGTAAGGAGCAGTCCTCTGGTGTTATCAGAGCTCATGCATGAAAAAAACGCACAATCTCTTATGCCATACAGTTAAGTGAAAATGTTAACGTTACATGCTGTACCTTTTATAGTTGGGGTAGAAATTTACATATGTTAAAGAGGGAACAGGTTTTTTGGGGGGTTTTTTCGGTAAATGTATACAAGTGCAACACACATCAAATATTCACTTACATTACAAGTAATGTATCAAGTGGTAAACACTTCAATAAATTATGTACATAAATAAAGATGTCTATTAAAAGATGTCTATTAAAAGATGTTTTGGGCTAACCATTCTCAATAATGTCAATTGATTTGGCATTTCCATACTCATTTGTCTTTTAAATCACTGTCCACATAACTGTTTTACTCTCAGTGGCCACTTTATTGGGTACACCCGCTCATTTAGCCAAACAACGAATAATGTGGTATCAACTCAAGCATTCAGACATAATCAAATGGTTTAGTTTTTGTTCAACTAAATAATAGAAAGGGAGCGATGCATGATCTGAACAACTTAACGTGGAATGATTGTCCATGCCAGATATTGTGGTTGCAAAATCTGAAAAACTGTGGACCTCCTGGGATTGTCACTCTAGAGTTTACAGAGAATGGTGCATAAAACATACAGTGAGGGATAGTTCTGTGTGCAAAACCTTTTGAAAACCGTTAGAATGACCAGACACTTGTTCAAGCTCCTACTACTGCTCAGACAACCACAAATAACGACTTTCTCCACTGGTGAGCAGGATGACCTCTCTGAAAGCACGCATGTCAAATCTTGAAATGGATGGGCCAGAGCAGAAGACAATGCTAAGTTCAACTCTTGATGGCCAAAAACAGGAAGAGGTTCTAGTGAGTAAGTAATTGCAAAACTGGAAGGCCGAAATTTTTCAGTACATTGCCTGGTCTAGCAGATCTTGATTTCTGATCAGAATTTGATATTTACACCAATGAATCCTTTTAGATGACAAAGAGCAAGATGTTTTCTTCATGGATCAAATCTGCCTGAATGACATTTTTCGGTGTTGTCATCAGTTACATTAGTCATCAGGTAAAATACCATTCTATGAAGATTTCAGGCTATTCTAAAGGCAAAAAAAAAACCTCCTACGTTTCTATAGATAGGTGCGCCTAATAAAGTGGCCAGTGAGTGTATATAGTTTACTAGAAGAACACAACATTTTCCTAAAAAACTAATAACCAGATTGATCCCCGTGTTGCATATAAACATGAGTGTTTAAAACCTAAATGACCATATTCTCCCTGTGTTCACTTGACTGCGTTTTAGTGAAGGTGCGCTAATGGTAAAACCAATTTTTTGTGGCAAGCTATGGCTCAAACCCTGGATATGGTGTAAATTATCTACAAAGTGGGTGGAAAAAAACAGCAATTAAGATTAGCTTTCTCTCATTCTCCCCCAGCACCATGAGCTCTCGGCACTCGGCAAGTCCCGTTGTTTTCACTAGTGCCAGAAGTTCACCTAAGGAAGAGTCTCACTCTGCCACTTCCCCACAGCTCGCACCTTCTTTCTCCTCTTCCTCCACCTCCCCTTCTGGTCCTAGGACTTTCTACCCTCGCCAGGGGGCTACCAGCAAGTACCTGATTGGATGGAAAAAACCTGAAGGGACTATAAACTCTGTGGGCTTTATGGATTCAAGAAAGTAAGAGCCCTTTCTGTTCTGTTGTCAAATCGTAAAAACAATGTCATGTGACTTGGCAAATTCTTCTGAGGTTTTGTATGCTACGCAAGATTGGAAAGAGCCAATACACACTTTTGTGCTATTACAATCCGCATAGCCTTTTGGAATGTGTTGCATGTTTTAAATTTGCAGCTTTGTTTCCTGACAAATTCCTTCTATTTGTCTCTTTATTTATGTCACAAAGAGAAATTTGAGTCCAGGTTTCTTCCTTTTAACAGGTATTGACGCATGAGTTTGTGGTGGTTATGACAAAACCTAGACTTTTTCTCCTTTCTCTGCTTTCCTCCATCGCTTTTAGTTTGTATTGATAAGTCTTCACCGTGTATTCTTTCTCTTTAATTCACTTGTCACTTTCCTAATCTTCCGTTTCTGTTTTTTTTTCAATAAAAGACGACACCAGATTGATTGTGTGGAGATGCCACCCACCAGGCTGCGTGCATCAATCAGAGACCTGCAGGCATCCCCGAAGAGGGTGTCTACAGTTCAAGAGGACCTTAAGAAGCTAATTGACTTGGAGAATTCACCTACAGGATCAGAAAAGTCATTCAAGGTAAACCCACAAAATGTTAACCATCATTTATTGCCACAACAAATGTTTTACCAGTTGAAATCTTATATATTTTAAAATACTGAAAGGAAACCAGGCTTCTAAAAACAAATATACGCAAACCAATAACCATATCCAGGTAGGAGATTATATTTATTTAGAAGCCTTTTGTCTTCTCATTGCATGCTTTAAAAGTATGCTGTGCCCGTGCATAGTTCTTAAAGGAGAACTATGAGGCGAGTGAAAATCATAGTTCGAGCCGACGTGTGACAATGAAGCTGTCACATTGTTCCGGCTGCGGCGTCTCGGTATGTCGCGAGCTGTAGCTTGCGGTATACTGAGCTTTGGGTAACGGGAGACGCTAGTTTGTGTCCTCCCGTTACCCTTAGGAGAACTATTGGGAAAAGCACTGACCCCATAGTTCTCCTTTTAAGGAGTGGTTTCGCATGTTCTTTGCACATAAATACTCATTAATGTTCACTTTTAGAAGTGTCTCTTTGCTGCTTCATAGCTTAAGCTAACCAGACATAAGCAAGTACCGGAAAATGACAGCTAGCCAATAAAATGAAGACTCTGATTTACAATTACATAAAAAGTCTTATTTCAGGCGCTGTTGTGGTTGAAGGCCAGGTGTCTTTCTAGTCCCATAGATGAGGTCCATGGGGCTTGTACTGAAAAAGGAGCAGATCATTCATTTTTCTGCAAACTACATGATGCTGTCAAACCTCTGAAGTCACAACATATCTCCTGTAGTTATAATCAAGCAATGTGTGCACTGCACTGTAAGAGCAAAATCCCTCATAGTGTTCTGAGCTTTTTATAATGGTTCGTCCAGGGCATACTGTTTCCTTGACAACAGTGCAGTAAGTGCTCCCCTCTGTGTTTAAAGCTGAAAAAAAAGTGTTGGAAAATAGCAGGTTATGTTAAGATGTCAGGGCTCCTTTCCATGCTGAGCTGATAACTTATGTCTAAATATGTTACTGTTTTTCATACAATAATACGCTAGTTTATTCTCAAGTGTCTTAATAGATATTTATGGTGGCCATACACCCATTTTGATCTTAGTTGATATAGGGGGGCGTCAGGTGCGGCCTCTAACATCACCAAATGGCTGCACATAATGTTCAATGTATGTAATTCTACAGGAATCAGTCAGAAACTATACAGTGTGTTGTATAATAGATGGTCCGAAACTGCTGGTACCAGCATGGTCAAAGAACATGAACATGGTCAAGGATTGCAGACATGCTGCAGAAGACTATGGACACATTACAAGAGACTTCTTAAGCATTACAATCCCTTAACAATCCAGTTTTCCCTCCAAACCCCTTAAAAATTACTGGCGCCACATTTTATATCACCCTCCTCAAGATCCATTAAAAAAAGGTAGAGAGAACGCAAAAAGAGAAAAAAAAATAGGCAACACAGAAAAGTAAGCAAATGTAACTGAAGTAAACAAAATAAATTAGTATAAACCAGTTTAATGACTATTTTCCTTCAGTTACCTTGAGCAGGCTCCTAGGCAAAGAAAACACTGACTACTGGCTGCTGAGAGCTGCACAGTAAGTACCGAAGGGCCACAGGTCGGAAACCACAGCCATACATGGTACAATCCCTGCAAGCGGGCATACCTGAGTTGAACATCTAGAAACTCAGGTGTATTTTGGACTGTGCAGGTCTTCCCTAGAGGGCAGTACTGGGCCATATATTAGCTCATAATCATACACAAGTATTCCAGTGCATTTCAGCGCTATTAGATGACAATTCTCTGTTCTACTGAAAAAGTTTGTCACCTGTTGGCAAAGTCATCGAGATGATGGTGGCAGATCCTACATATGCTTTCAAGGATAAGCAAATGTCTTACAACCCATCATTCTCGATTGGACATCTACCTGTCTCAGTTCGGACTTCTTTCCCATACAAGTAGGCAGCCTGCAGGCCAGTGAATTTGCTTGTTCTTATTTACATGATGTTAAACTTTTACTTTTAAATAATGTAATTCATGCAGCATAAATATCATTTTTCTAAGCATAAATATCATCAACATAGAAAAGGTAGTTTTAAACTATATCACAATTCCAAACGCAGCTGAAAAGGTGATGCATAATATGTGTATGCAATTAGCAAAGTTTGCTATTATGAAATAATGTCATTTAGTAATTTGATATTCAAGTGTTTAACCCCTTCATGACTGAGGTTACAGCCCCGATGCTGGCGACGTACACTGTACGTCGTCAGTCACGAAGGGGTTAAAGTGTAGAAAATTCTGAGCAATTGAAACAAAATGCCATCTTAGAGCCCACCTCTGTGCCTTATTCAAGACTACATTCACTTTCTTATGTGGCTTTGACATCTGACCTCAAGCCTGCTCACCTTTATAACTAAGCCATGCTCCCAACTGCTCCACTGACCAGAGAAAGTAATTTTATTGGCCAGCAAGGCACTCTCATTGGATAAAGGGCTGTTAAAGGCGGGGTCATCACTGGGTGTGTGGGTGAGGCTTAGGCCTCAAATCAAGGCGGTCGTGTCTATAGCAAGTATAGTGAAAGTACCAAATGAGGCACCCACAAAGCTTTTTAAGATGTTTTGAGTATCTTAAGTTTCATATAATCAAAAAGTTTGCTAAAGCAATTTGAGATTTAAGTAGGCCACATAAATGATGCCTTTAATTGGCACTTTAATTGGTCAATGCTCAAACTTTTTTTTTAATAATGAATCCAGATCAAACAAACATTGGCAAGTAAAGTATTTCTTTAGATTTTTGCCCAACCACTTACAGTTTCTATATTTGCAAAATCCCAGGGGACGGGGCAGTCTTCGTCACCTATCCATCTACTAGCTTGGAGGAAGGAGGAGTTGGGAGCAGGGAAGTTGCTTATCTTGCCTCGCCACACACAACTTACTAGCACACCCAAGGGTGGCTCCATAGGACCCTGCAAGGCAAGAGATATGTTCTATACTTGACATCTATTCCCAACTGTTTAAACATGGTGATAGATCTGTATTGGTTTTGGGCAGCCATCGCATAAGAAGCATAGGTCCATTGCTTGCAAGCAGCATCATACCACACACTGTCAGAAATTATAAGACCACATTCTAAGAAGGTTTGACACTGTTTTGAAGGCAAAAGCTTGCCTTGCTTATTTTTAGTTTCTTGACACACACACATGCTATATTGTTGGCTAATGAAATCCAGACAAGTAGAATTCTCAAAAAAGAAAGTCAGTAATGGGTTGACTACTTTTTTTCCTCTTGGTATACCAGAGGATTCAGTCTGCTTTCTCTATTTTGCAGAATTATTTGTTGAAGGTAGAAACCAAATATATTATGATTGCTTGATTACGGGTGTGCAAAAAATCTCCGTGCCTATCAGTTTCAGGGATGATCACCCCAAGCAGAAGTAACTGAAATAACTTTGTGTTACTTACATGTTTGGGAAACAATTTATTTTCGAATACATAACATTTTTGTAGCTTGCTCAACTCTGAGGTCAGAGCCTTGAAAATATAGATCAGTAGGTGCTCTTTTCTAACGATTTCAGACTTCAAATACAACTTGTGTTTAAGCGTCAATAAACATAGTGATCAATAAATTACTGTCAACTGTGACTGAACTCATGATGGTATTTCTTGAAGTTATTTAATAAATTCTCTTGTAAAAAAAAAAAATTATTAAAAAGATATAATTTATGCACAGTTGAAATGCAGCATGATATAGAAATCTAATGGTGCCTACGTTATGATATTTTTTAGTCTTCTTACAAGCTCTTTATTGTTTCATCCAGTAATGTCAAAGAAGATACACATGCAACAGTTCTAGAAAATACAACCACATAAAGGGTTTTTTTTTCTTCTCCTTCCAGTCATCTTTTCCTACAACTCCAACTACCAAGCGGTCTTTGCACAGAACACTTTCTGATGAGAGCATTTACAGCAGCCAGCGAGAGATGGTATTCATCAATGCACGCACATCACTCCTGGACCAGGCGCTGCCCAATGATGTCCTCTTCAGTAGCACCTACCCATCTCTGAATAAGTCTCTGCAAATGCGCAGACCATCATATACTCTTGGTATGCACTCGGTACATGGTGAGAAATGTTACCATATCATATGTTGGAACGCATTTATATAGATTTTTTTTGTTTTACTATCCTGGAAGATATATGCCCAAACACTGGCATTCTCTTTTCAGTGTTCGACCCTCCAATGTAATCAGCAGTGATACTAGCAGGAGCTGCAACCTTTTAAAACCCCCTGCAAGTAAACCATTAGCCATAATCTAGTAAAATGCTGTCGACTGTTCTAATCCAGCTGTTGTCAGAAACATAACCAACGTTCTAGAAATTTGGACCAGTCTTTAAATGCAAAAATGATCAATTGGATCAGGGCATCCTACCACCAACCTTGACATAGAAATATAGATACATAAAGTGTTAGCAGTAAGTTGCCTGGATGCATCTTCTTTTTTGTAACCAAAAGCTGGTAGTGGTTGCTTATACTTGTTCTGTGTACGGCCAGCATTAATTTTCCTTTTTTATTTTTATTCAATGTGAAGCATATACATTCGTTTTTTCCTAAATAAGTGTTAAGAGAGTTCACTGTATTGCTGGCATGGCGTCTACCCTGCTGTTTTGGTTTGTAGCTTGGTCTGGCCATATGACATGTAGCATCCTAAAAAAGAAATTCTATAATTGGTGTCTGTAAGGCCTGAGTGCATTTCTATATTGTGTTCCTTTAGATCACTTCCAGTGTGGCTTTTGTATAACTACAAATCTGTGTGACCTCCGCACTCAAATCCTTATATAAATTAAAAGTAAGAATGCATAGTAGACACTTCAGTTTTAGGCATTTGGGAATTGAAGCATTTTCAAATACTTGCAACCTTGCTTGGTGTTTGATACCCTAGTTCCTTCAGCCTTTGTAGCCTTTCCACAATATACTCATTTGTATATACTGAAACTGCTGTTCTCCACCATTTTGTATTTGCCCCCTCTATATACACACAGCCCAACACTGTACAATGCTCGTACCAATTCTCAATTATACTGGAGCTGTTATTTGCCCACTATTCCTTCTAATAAATAATGAAAAACCACCACGGCATCATTGTAGTAAAATGTTTTTGTTGTATGTGTTTGTCTGTTATGTGCGGTTATGTGCGGTATTTAGGCAACATATGGGAAAATGGCATTATTTAATTGCATTCTGGGTCACAGTGCTATTTTCCTGAAAAAAAAAACAAAGTACGTTTTATGTTGCTTAAACATGCAAACAATTAATATTTCTATTTTTAAAACAAACAATGTGTGTCTTAATGCTGCCCATTAACTGGAAAATAAACCCTAATTATACTGAGAATAACTTACGGTGGTTTTGGAATGTGGCAATTTCTGTGTTTTTTTTTTATTTCATGTCTCCTACTAAGTGCTCAGAAACTGCATTCTGTACACAATAAACAATTCTAAAGAACATTTCCAAGCTTCAGCCCCTTTCATATATCAACAATTATTTACAGCAACGTGATTATAATTATCTTTGTTGCAGTTCGGTTGTGTTTGCAAACAGAGTCTGATTGTCTAAATTATCAGCTATTGAAAATGTTGGTCTATTCTAAATCAATGAAAGCGAATTATTAACATGTTCGGGGTAGTGGGCATTTGACTATGAGGAATTGTGCATGGCATCTTGCAGTTAAGTAAACTGTCTGCTGTTTCAGAACCTTTGGTCTAAGATGCATGCCTCTAAATGCTATTTTGTATCTGAAGTAGCCACAGAGCATTATTATTATTGTTGTTTGTTTATTTTTTAATAAAGTCAAGTTAAATTTTATGTTGATCCTGTGTCTCTTCGGCTGGGTTCACACTTTTTTGTAGTTAACGAGCATTGTTTTGCAGTGCATTATGTTAAACAAGCCCTTGAATGGGCTTGCAATGCACAAAATGAATGGGCTGGCAATGCACGAAAACATTTATGGGACTGCCAGTGACCTCTGAAACAGAGTAGGCATGCTCCATTCCAGTAAAAGGATCGGTCACATTCCCTTCTAATCTGTTGGTTTTATATCTACCTAAAGTACTGCAACCTTGTGCAGACATGTTCAAAGAGAAATATTAACACAGTTGTACCAGGTACTGAGGGTATTGATCTAAATCTGATGTCGTATGCTGTAGTTGCTCCCTATATTGACTCTGTTAGGGGAAATGTATAGATGCTGGCATCTCCTTTCAAAATTTTAGATCCCAGATCCCTGGCTGTTATTCTGAAGCCTTGCATCGATGCTGTCAGAATTTCTGATCTCTATACTTGTTCCAGGTCAGAGATTCAGACATTGACAGCTTGCTTATTCCAGGTCTGCGGTCTTGAAGCCAGACCCAGTTAGCTAGCATCAAGGATGCCAGAAATGGCAGCTCCCCTTTGTGTTTCATGACCGTCACTTAAATAAGTTTAATTTGTTGTGTGTAGTTAAGAAGCCAGGGAGAAAAGCACATACAAGGGTGAAACTGGTGCAGTGCAGGTGTTCTCTGGTGGATCCAATGATTAGATGGTTTCCTCAGGGACAAGACGTAACACCTAAAACCCAGTGCAGGTTTTGTCTGACTGTTCTTGCTCTGGATGCCAGTAGATGTTTTAGAGCTAAGGGCCCGTTCGCACCATCTCTGCTTGTTATTTGCACAGTTCCTTGCAATTAATGCATGGTACCAGACAACACAGCCCTCGTGCCATTACAGAGCGGAAGGTGTGTTGCATGCCATTCATTTGAATGGCACCCCAAACTTACCTCCTGCCCGCAGTGCGATCGGCTGTGCCGTAACAGGCGGTACCACGAATACCATGTGTTGCAGTGGAATTGAAAAATTCACGCACTATTTTTTCAATCACAACACACGGTATTTGTGGCACTGCGGATGGCGGCACGCCTAATCGTACTGCGGATGGGGGGTATGTTTGGGGTGCCATTCAAATGAATGGCACGCAACGCACCTCCCGCTCTGTAATGGCACGAGGGCTGTGTTGTCTGGTACTGTGCAAATGAATAGCACGCAACGCACCTCCCACACTGTAATCGGGCAGGAGGTGCGTTGTGCTGTATCGCGCATTAATTGCACGGAACCATGCTGTTAACACACACAGATGGTGTGAACGGGCCCTAAATGCCAGCTTAAGCAGTTATTGTCATGCATGTGGAATTTTCAAAAAGTATGCAACACCTTTTTTTGTATTTTCCAGGTGAATTTTCTGCCTCTGATACCTCCCTCACAGACATTCATGATCAAAGAAGGCAGCCTATGTCTGACCCTGGACTAATGCCCTTGCCAGCTGTTGCATCTGACCTAGAGTGGTCAAACTTGGTGGATGCTGCCAAAGCCTTTGAAGGTAAGAATTTTAAACTAAACAGGCAGTACAAAACTACTATGTTTTACAAACCAGCGTTTCTTAGCCTTTTTTCAGTCATGGCACCTTTTAAAATTAAGCAAATTCTTGAGGCACCCCAGTCTAAAATGTAAAAATCCGTGTCCCCCCTTCCACAAAATAAAAATCCAAACCAGACTAATATCCTAGGAAGGGGTCTGGTATGGATTTTAAGGTGGGACCCTATGCAAAAATTAAAAACAATGTGGGGTAGTAC